CAGATATGTTGGAACTAAAACTCCCAACCAGCATGGAATTCTGGGAAATGTAGTCCCAACCCATATAGGGACTACCAGTCAGGGACCGCTGCAAAAAAAAAAAAACCAGGCCTATCCTAAAATATACCTTTTATGCAAATCAACTTTTCTTCATTTCCATGTCTCTTCAGCTTCCATCTCTCATCTGACATTGAGAGACAGGTGGGATTATTTTATTTTTTTTAACGGATGGGGGATCATTCCGGCGGGAAATCCCTTGCTATGACATCACAGCAGTTCAACCAATCCGCGCCCAAGGCTTTGATGCTTCCCAAACGGTGCACCCAAATCAATCAAAAAAACAAGCAGCAAATGCTCGTTTCACCCACTGTGGTTATTGCATCCAGCCTTGTAACTTGGAGTTTCCAACTAGCTTACACGAAAACCACCTTCCGCAAAGAGGAACAATGCCTTGAAAAGGAGATGACCAGCTTCGTTCCTTGCTCATTCTCAGTCGCTCCGGCCTGGCTCACCTCTCGTTCGGACTGCTGCAAAGCTCTCGACGTGGGGCTGCCCTTGAAGACTGCTCCAAAGATGAAGCTGGTCCTCCATGTAGCAGCTGAAGTCATGATGGGTGCCTCTCCGTTCTCCCCTACAGCACCACGCCTTTGGGAAGGCCCGTGGGCTGCAAAGACCTCAAGATCCATTCAAGGCCTGCGCAACTTTCAGCCTGGGGAATTTGCAACGGAAGTCGCTGGTGGTCACCCGGGGGGATCTTCAGAAGCAGCCCGGCTGCTTGCCGTTCAATAAGGTCAGGAAGAGTGGGGTCCCCTTATGTCCCATCTGCTAAGGGAGACCCTAAGCAAGGACCCCAGAGATGCGCTCCCGTCTGTGCAACTTTCCCTGCAAGACTTTTCCGAGTTTCCCGCAAGATCATTCCAAGTTCCAACTTTTAGAACTGGGGATTTTAGAACGGCCTGAAATGTGGCTTTTTCTGCGACAACAGGAGGGCGAGTGAAGAAATCTTTGTTCCCTTGGCACATGAGATGAGAGCGGTGCTTGGCGGTTGTCCGTAAGGTTATCTTTATGGCTTCAATCTCGTTTATGGATGAGAGACACGTCAGCTAATGGGAGCTGCCGAGAAGCTCCAGCGACGAAGGGAAGAAAAATGAAATGGTTTGGTCCTTTCGGGAGACGGGAGAAGAAACGGTGGGTTCGAAGATAAGGACGCCGATGTCGGTGGGACTTCAGGAAGCATTTCGAAGGGGAAGAGCTGCTCCCCAATGCAAGACACTGGCTTGGGGTGCCGGGCTGGCCCCTCTTTGCTGGAGGGGTTTCAGCGCCCTACCTTAAGGACTAGCAACTTGAATCTGTGGGCACAAGTGACAGCTGACCTTTCAGTCTTGGCAGAAAAAAAACGTGGTTGCCTCCTGCTGGCACGCCACGGCCAGATCTTCCCAGCCGCATGTAAAAATTCAAGCCGCACATACAAATTCCGTCTGGCAGATGAAATCCCCAAGAAAGTGCTCCGACCGAGCAGGAGAATCCAATTCAGGGAGACCCACAGAAATGCCTCACCTGCTTTGCCCCCTTTCTGCTTCAGCCCCAAACATTTTTCTCTCTTCCCCACTCGGGAGAGATGCACAATGTCCTTGTTCATGCACCTATGCTCAGCCTAAGGTTTTTGCATTTTTCAGCTTGGCTGGCATCCAGGGCCTTGTGCCAATTAGCCCTGAAATCCAGCAGGGGTTGGCGTCTCCAGAGGGCCCTTAATGGCATCTCATTTTCCCAAAGTGGGCTATTAACGCCAACAGGCTTTGATTCGTGGTCTTCTGAATTTTCCCCAGCTGGGAGCCTTTGACCCTGTGATGTGGCTGGCTGGTCCCCAAAGATCTCACCTCCCTGGTCCAGGAGGATGGGCTTCGTTGCACTGCATCGGGCAGAGACTCCTCGACCTGGAAGGAGCCTGCAGGCTGCAGGACTCCATTTGGGGACCAAAGTCTGCCCCCAGCCACCCTTTCAATCTTTTCCGTGGCCCCTAAAAGTCTAGCCCAAACCTGTAGAATTCAAGTTAGTCCTCATCTTCTGCTCTGGGACCTCACTTAGGTGTTTTTTCATCTACTGTTTCTAAAACTCTCTGCAGGTACTGAGTTAGCTCAATATAGATAAAGGTTTAACATTTGCATGGATAAAAGGTTTGAAATTTGCACGGATGCAGATAAAAGGTTTAACATTTGCATTTCTTAACACCTGGGCCAGCTGTTAAGCAGTCCTCTCTCCCCTGCTTTGCTTTTAAATTCAGCGGAATTGTGTTAGGAAAGAGGATCCTTGGGGCTTGTGCAGCCCAGCGTCTGAAAAAGAAATGTGGAAAGTGGGAATTGTAAGAGGGAAAAGAAAAAGAACCACATTACCCTGTTAAACGGGGGTAGGTGACATGGGGCAGCCGAGAAGCCATTTTGTCGGCCTTTCGGAGTGGAATTTTCCATTCA